TTTTGTATTTATCTTCAGATAGAGCGGGAGGGAGAGAGGGAGGAAGAGAGAGAGAAACATCCACGTGAGAGAGACACATTGACTGATTGCCACCCACACGACCCCTACTGGGGCGGGGGACAAACTGCAACCAAGGTACATGCTCTTAGCGGGAACCGAACTTGGGAAGGGAGGTCTTTCTAAGGCACACATCAGACCCTTTGCTTCCCGGCTCAGAGCCCACTGCCTGTAGGATAGCATTCAAGTTCTTCAACGTTGTTCATAAGGCCCTGCATGGGCTGCTCTGACTGTTGGACCCTGTCCCCTCATGGGGCACATGTAGGGCCTCATATAAATCCAGCCCTGGTGAAAGTCAGCTTGCCACCCAGTCTGCACCTGCACTCACGCAGAAATATACAGCCAGAGAAAAACACACAGCCACAGTGACACATCTCATTTCAATTTAATATCCGATAACCTCAAGTGATTGGTTCCATGTGTCTACCTTTCCCTGGCCATTCACTTACTGTTTCATGCATTCTCCTCCCTTCTCCAACCTCAGCACCTCCCTCTCACCCTGATGCTGCTTCCTACTCTACTGAGACAACATAAGAAACCAGAAGAGCCCTGGTCGGTTTGCCAAGCGGTTAGAGCGTCAACCCGTGGACCAATGAGTTGCAGGTTTGATTCTGGTCAAGGGCATGTACCTTGGTGGCAGTTCGTCCCCGGCCCTGGTCTGGTAGTGCGGGAGGCAACCAGTCGATGTGACTCTATCACATCGATGTTTCTCTCTGTCTCTGTCTCTCTCCCTCCCTCCCTCCCTCCCTCCCACTCTATCTGATGAGAGGTAGAAGAATATCCTCGGGTGAGAAATAAAAACGGAGGGGGGGAGACAGAAGGGGAGGGGAGGGGAGGGGAGGGGAGGGGAGGGGAGGGGAGGGGAGGGGAACCAGAAGAGAATGTTCACATGTACCTGACATCACATATCACCACCTGCCTGCCTCCGTGCCCATATGCCCCCTCCCCCATTCACTGTGGCTGAACAGCTCCTGCCCCTCAGACCACCCTCCACTTGGGCCCCGGAATCCACCCGCCGCCGTGCTTACTCAAGGTCATGGCTCCAGCAATTCTCCCCTTTCTCCTCTGCAGCATCGATCTCCCCTCTTCTAGACCATTCTCATCGGCACATGAAATATTGTTACATCTATCATCTGAAATAAACCTCCGAAGATCCCATTCCCCGTTCAGATACTACCCCATTTCTGTGCTGCAAAGAATCACCTACACTGGTTCTCTCCACACCCTCTCTTGAACCCATCCAATCAAGCTACTGCCCCCACCACACCATCAAAATGGCTCTTTTCAAGATTACTGGTGACTTCCATCTTGCTAGCTCCAGTGGTGAGTTGTCAATCTTCACCAGACTTGGCCTCTAGGCAGCATTTGGCATCATTGACTCTTCCTTCCTCCTAGGTTTGTGCCCTTCACTTGGCCACCAGGGCTTCAAACAACCCAGGTTCTCCTCTAACTTCACTGACAGCTCCTCCCCAGTTTCCTGTGCTGACCCCAGACATCTACATGGAATGCCCCAGCCTCAGGCCACGGACTTCTTTTCTATCTACCCTTGCTCCCTTGTTAACTTCTCCCAGGCTGAGGGACTTACATGTCATTCATTCATTCATTCATTCATTCATTCATTCATTCCTATTTTTTTGGTACATTTCCCTAGCGGAAACTGAACCAGGGATTCTCTGGTCCACAGGCCGACGCTCCAACCGCTGAGCCAAACCAGCCAGGGCACATGTCATTTATTCACTAACAACTCCTAAATTTCCATCTCAAGACTGAACCTTCCCCTCAAGTCTAGACTCATATATTCAGTTGTCTACCTGACATGTGTACTTGGGTGACTAATGGGCATCTCAAGTTCAGGCAAACTTGAACTCCTGGTCCTTTTGCAGCCCTGCCCACCTTGGCTTCTGGCAGCTCCATCCTTCTTGTTACTCAGGCCAAAGACACGGGAGTTGCCTTTGACTTCTGTCTTTCTCTCACATCCATATCCAATTCCACTTCACTTCACCTTCACGGCTACCACCCTGGTTGGAGCCACCATTGCCCGAACCACTAAATAGACCTTCTCACTGGGCACCCAGCTTCCACCCTGGCTCTCTAAAGTCAGGTCCCAGAGGAATCTTTTTTTTTTTTAATCCTCACCTGAGGACATTTTTTCATTTTTTTGTTCAGATAGTGTGGGAGGGAGAGAGAGGAAGAGAGACACAGAGAGAAACATCGACGTGAAAGGGACACATCGAGTGGCTGCCACCCACACAACCAACCAGGGCCGGGGACAAACTGCAACCGAAGTTCGTGCCCTTAGCGGGAACTGAACCTGGGTCTCTCTGGACCACAGGCTGACGCTCTAACCGCTGAGCCAAACTGGCCAGGGCCCAGAGGGATCTTATTAAAACCAGAATCAAATCAAGTCCTTCCCTATTGCAGGGCCCTCCCATGGCTCTCATCTCATGTAGAATAAAGGCCAGAGTCCTTATGGTGACCTACAAGACCCTGCACCATCTGGCTCCCCACCCTGCCCGCCCCTGGCTCCCTCAATCCGCACTGACTTCTTAGATGATCCTGGAACACAACAGGCTAAGTCCTGCCCCTGGCTGCACGTGCTCCCACACCTGCTTCACCTCTTTACTCAAATGTCACCATCTTAGGCCCTGGCCGGTGTGGCTCAGTGGTTGGAGCATTGGCCTGCACACCAAATGGTTGCAGGTTCAATTCCCAGTCAAGGGCATGAACTTGGGTTGCGGGTTCAACCCACTGGGGCACCTGTGGGAAGCAACCAACCAATCAATGTATCTCTCACATTGTTTCTCTCTCTCCCCATCCCCTCTCTCTAAAAAATCAATGGAAAAAAGATCCTAGGGTAAGGATTAACCAAAAAAAAAAAAAAAGGTCACCCTCTTGGGAGGTCTTTTTTTTTTTTAAGTCCGAGGACACTTTTCCATTTATTTTCAGATAGAGTAGGAGAGAGAGAAACATTGACGTGAGAGAGACACATGGACTGGCTGCTTCAGGTATGACCGGGACCAGGGTCAGGGACCAACCCCAACCAAGGTATGTGCCCTTGACCGGAATCGAACCCAAGACTCATTGGTCTGCAGGCCAAAGCTCTAACTGCTGAGCCAAACCGGCCAGGGCAGGAGGTCTGATTGTAAAATTACACACACACACACACACACACACACACACACCATACTCCCCAACCCCTTTTCCTTCCATTTTCTTCATAATACTTATTACCTTTTCACTTATATATCGTATTTATCTTGCTAATTGTCTGATTCTCCCAAGTAAAAAGTGAGCTAAACGAAAGTATAGATTTTTGTCTTTTATTGGATAGATGAAGCATCCTTTGCTGAGTGACCTTGAGGACTCCTGCAGGACACTAAACTATAAATTTCTCCTCCCGACTTTCATTCTGCCTTCCAGCTCACTCAACCCGTGTTCTAGATTCATTCCTGCCTCCAGCCATTTGCTTAAAGTCACGCCCGCGCTAGGATCACCCTCCCTCCCATGCCTTGTGATGTACTTGTTTGGACAGGGGGGCCCCAGGCGTGGCTGGAAGGTTTATACGTTGCCATAGTTACTGCGCCCGCCCGGAGCTGAATATTCCCAGAGTGCCCCGCCCCTACGGGTAATAGGTGGTTAGCGGAACCCGAGCAGTCCCGTGCAGGGGCGGATATAAGGGGGCGACAACCTCCACCCCCCCAGGCAGTTGTCATGGAAACGAAGCGCATCCCTCCAGCGCCGTCTCCCTCCCCTTTCTCCAAGAGAAAAGGGCACATGCATAATTATTGAGCTGGGTGAGCTGAAAGACTGTCCGAACTGCGGGGACGCCGCTCGGTTCCAGAGCTCTCCCGTCTCTCCTGCCTCCTCCAAGGATTGCTACGCCTGCGCAGGGAAGTAGCCTTAGGTACCACGGCTAGAGACGAGGGGCGCGCATGCGTGAGACAGGGTTTTGCGCGTGCGCTGCTAAGGCACCTGAAGGTTGCGGCCGCCGGCGGCCGGTGGAAGGTGGTTCTGCGCTTGCGACGTGGGAGGAGCGTGAAACCCAGGCGGTAAGGGCGTTGGGGACCGACTGGCGCCAGGTGCGCCTGCGCCGTGGGTCTCCAGGCGGCGGGAGGCGGGGTCCAGAGGGGGTGGGGGACGGAGAGAGGCGGGGGGGAGGGAAGAGGCCGCAGAAGCCCGAGCCTTGACCGACGGGCAGGCGGGGGCTGCGGCGGCGCCGGTGAGTGACTCGGCCCCCACCCTCCGCGACCCCCACTCTTTCAGGAGTCCCCCATAGCTTCTGTTGTCCCCATCTAGTCCCAGACCCTCATTACCCCCAGAGCTCCCCTTAATTTCTGGCAATCCCCCGCAATCCCTGCAAACCCTAATTCCTAGTATTTCATCGTCCCAGCTCCTCCACTGCTCTAGGAGTCCCCACCTCACCATTATTCCTGCACATCCCCTCGGAGGACCCTTTCCCATAATGGTCTTACAGACGTCCCGTTGGCCCAGAACCCCCAGAGCGCTCCTCTGCTCCAGATCCCCCCTTCTCACTGCATCTCCCCTTCAGCATCTCGTACCCCCATCACCCCCATGCTGTTTCAACCCCCAAGGCACCCCCACTCTCCTTCCATTTCTCCTGTGCTCCCATTCTCTAACTCCTGCAGATGCCCTCTCTTCCTCTTTTCCTTATTTCCCTCCAACCCTTCAGACCCTTCCTCAATTTCCATCAACTCCTTGGCTTGGCACTTTGCATCTCACAGGCACGAGAGGAGCGCTCAGCGGGTGTCAGCTATTGTTAGGCACTCTGCCCCCTACGCTCCTCGCCCCTGACCGCCCCCTGCCCCCTTCCCTGGCCCCGGGGACTTAGGAGCCTGTGTCGCTGCGGCCGGCCGGGGTGGGGCTGGTGTCGCGGAGACGCCAAGCCCCCGCCAGAGCGGTGCGCCCTGTGCCTGCAGCGCCGGCGCCCCCCATGCGCCAGGCGGCCGGACGGCGGCGTCGGGGGGCGCCATGGCCTCGGCTGCGGCGGGCGAAGCAGAAGAGACCACCCGGCTGCGCAAGCCACGGTTCTCGTTCGAAGAGAACCAGATCCTGATCCGGGAGGTGCGCGCCCACTACCCGCAACTCTACGGCGCACAGAGCCGTCGGGTGAGCGTGGCCGAGCGGCGGCGTGTATGGGACGGCATCGCGGCCAAGATCAACGGCATCACCAGCTGGAAGCGCACTGGCCAGGAGGTGCAGAAGCGCTGGAACGACTTCAAGCGCCGCACCAAGGAGAAGCTGGCCCGCGTGCCGCACTCCACGCAGGGTGCTGGGGCTACCGCCGAGGACGCCTTCTCTGCGGAGGAGGAAACCATTTTCGCCATCCTCGGGCCGGGTGTGGCAGGGCCAGGAGCTGGTGCAGGGGCCGAGCAGCCCCCAGCGGCCGCCTCCTCACAGCCACTGGCCCCAGGTGCTTGCACCCAACGCTACGTGTTGTCCGAGGACCGCAGGGAAGATCGACGGGCAGGTGAGTTCCTTCACCGTCACCTTAGCAAGAGCAGTCACAGTTTGCTGTATGTTGAGCACTGGTCCAAGCCTTTTACGTGGCTCATCAGACTCTCACTACAACCCTGTTAGGTGGACGCTGTCATTATCCCAATTTTAAACATGGGAGAAACTGAGGCTCAGAAAAGTGAAATGACTTGCCTAGGGTTCCACAGCAAGTGACTGTCAGAATCAGTACTAGAACCCAGACCTAGGTGGCCTGGCCCCAGAGTCCACATGGGGGCCATCAACTCACAGCATTTCATTAAACAGCTTGTAGGGTAGTGACTCTGGAGGCAGACTGGGCTCCAATCACAACTTTGCCCCTCAGCTGTGTCATTTTGGGTAAGTTACTGCAAATCAGTTTTTGTGTCTGTAAAGTGGGGATAAAATGTAGTCGCCACTCAAAGATTGCAGTGAAGATTAGTAAATTAATATGCATAAATTGCTTAGTACATGGCCTCCTAAACACTCATTATTAGCTCTTGATATGCTTGCCAATGCTGTCAGGTATGAACTGTTTCACCATTTTATAAATCAAGATTTCACAGAGGTTTGGAAACTTTCCCAAGGTTGTGCCCTGAGTAGAGGAGGTGTAGAGAGCTGAGCATAAGACTTCTCACTTAGCCTTGACTCTGGCTTATTTCTTCTATAGCTATTCCCCAGGCACCTGTCCTATGCTAAGCAATGTTGGAGACACAGTGAAGGTCAGATTTTGGACTTTCTCTTGAGGGCATTTGGAAATCACTAAAGTGTTTTAAGCCAGAGAAAGACATAATCACCCGGACTCTTGTTCTTTTTATTGTTGTTAATCCTCACCCAAGAATATTTTTTCCATTGATTTAAAAATTTTTTTTTAAATTATCTTTTCTTTATTGATTTAGAGAGAGAGGAAGGGAGAGGGAGAGAGAGATAGAAACATCAATGAGAGAGAACATCGATTGGCCGCCTCCTGCATGCCCCCCACTGGGGATCGGGCCCACAACCTGAGCATGTGCCCTGACCGGGAATCAAACCGGCAACCTCTTGGTGCATGGGTCGATGCTCAACCACTGAGCCACACCAGCAGGGCTCCATTGATTTTTTTAGAAAGAGGGGAGTGGGAGGGGAGAAAGAGAGAAAAATATTGGTGGAAGAGAGACATGTCAATTGGTTGCCTCCTGCACATGCCCAACACGGGCTGGGGATGGAACCTGCAAACCTTAGGTGCACAGACTGCACAGATCAACGTTCTAACCACTGAGTCACACCAGTCAGGGCTAGACCCTTGTTCTTAGTGTGAATCAAACCTCAGTGTTCTTATTTGTGACTGAGACATCCTCAGTTCTGCCCTCCTGGGGCTCACAGTCCAGTGGGAAAGACAGACTCATACATAGACTTTGATGACTCAGAGCAGACAGCTTGACCCACCCTGGGAGATCAAGGAGGGCTTCCTGGAGGAGGAAAAATCAGAGACACAGAGTGAGGATTAAGAGCTGGGAAAGTGTTCCTGGAATAGCATGCACAGTGGCTTGGAAGCAAGAAAGCTTGACCAGTTTAGAAAACTGAAGGAGAGGGAGAGTGGAAAGACTGAAGAAAGGAACTGTTTTGAGATGAGGTTTGAGAGGCCATCAAAGACCAGACCATGCAGGGCCTTTAGGCTGAGTTGAGGAGTTTGAATGTTATCCTTAAGTGCTGTGGGGATTCACTGAAGGGTTTTGAGAAAGGGAGGGACATGATCAAACAAAGTAGTTCTGGAATATGTGATTCAGAGAGGTTCTTTCACCCACCCAAGGTCACACAGCAAGTTAGTAGAATTGAAACTGTAATACAGGTTGTGTTCAACTCACAGTCCATGCACTTAGCAATTGGGCTAGATTGCTCAGCAATAACAACAATTAATACTGACTGAAAGTGAACGAGTATGCCAGAATTAGGTGACATGGCTTGTAATTGAAGGTCAGACTTTGGGCATATCCTGAGGGCATTTATAAGTCATGAAAGTGTCTTAAGCAGGAGAGAGACACAATCACTTGTGACCCTTGTTCAGTGTGAATTAAACCTCAGTGCTTCTATCTGCAAAATGGCCCTGTTGAACTGGGGCAGACATGGCAAACTTATTTTTTCAAAAGCTGTGTAACCCCTCTATTCATTCATTCACTCAACAGATACTTATTGAGCACCTTTTCTGAGGCAGACACTGTTGTAGATGCTGGGAATACTGTGCAGAAAGACAATTTTCCTTCTCTCATGAAGCTAACACTCTAATTATGGGAGACACCACAAACAAGTAACCCTAGACAGGAAGTGATAAGGACTAAGAAGAGCCTGGCTGGCTGGTGTGGGTCAGTGGAGTGAGCATGGTCCCATGGACTGAGAGGCTGCCAGTTTGATTCCCGGTCAGGGCACATGCCTGGGTTTCAGGCTCCATCCCCAGGAGGGGGTGTGCAGGAGGCAGCTGATCAATGTGCCTCTCTCACGTCGATGTTTCTATCTCTCTCTCCCTTCCTCTATCTCTCAAAATCAATAAAAACATATTTTTTAAAATGAACTAAAAAGAAAAATCAAGCATTAAGAAGATGAGTGATGGAAGGAGGGCTGCTGTAGGCAGGGTGGTAAGGGACACCTCTGAGAAGGTAAAATTTGAACAGAGACCTGAATAGAGAGATTGAGCTAAGTGGATGGATATCTGAGGAAAGAGTACTCCATCCAGCTAGAGGAAACAACGCATGCAAAGGCCCTGAGGCAGGAATGTGCTTAAAGCATCCTTGATTAGAATCTCACACGGAAGACCCACTGTGTAAAACTCATAAAAGAGGAACTTGATCTGACTGAAAGACTGAAACAGCCTGGGGTGGTCTGAAGTGTCTTTGTTGACACTGGAGAGAGAGAAGGACCATTTCTCTCTGACCTAATGTTTGAAAGAACCACTGTAACAACATGGAGAAATTACTGTGTCGGGCACTTAAATTAAGCCTGTGCCCAAGGTGATTCAGTGACTCCCAGTAATGACCCTCAGGAATATGATCTGTTATTGGATCCCTTGGTGCCAGGTACTCACACAGATCCATTTATAGGTGGGGAAACTGAGGCTCAAAGTCTTTAAATAGGATTTTAACTCTTGTGTGATGGTCCCTCTGTGAGCCCTGTGGGCATGGAGAGTGGGCCACTTTCTGTTCCTTGTAGATGAAAAGCTGCATTTCCAAGGGGTGCGGTTCTCCTGCCCCTTACAAGTGAGACCACCCTCAGCCCACAGCCCCTGCCCTGGGAGTGGTTAAAAATGGGGACTCTATAGAGTCTACCTGGGTTCAAATCCCTCTTCCACCACTCCCCAGCCTGTGACACCTCTCCAGGCCTCAGTCACCTTATCTGTAAGCTGGGGTAATGACAGCACCTGCCTCGAGAGACTGGCTGAGGGGGCTCTGAAATAACAGGAGGAGAGCTTTGCCCAGGGCCTGGCCGGGAAAGTGTTCAACAGCTGTTGACTGTGGTCATGGTGTCTCTCCCAGCCTCCCCACCTCTCTGGCCCGGATGGCCCGGATGGCCCAGAGAGGCTGGACGCCCAGCACTCAGGGCTGGAGGGGGCTGGCTGTTTTGGAAGGAGAAGAGTGGCGGGCTCTGAGGTGACCAGGGAGCAGGAAGCAGGCTCCCCTGAGGAAGGCACATTCGAGCTGGCCAAGGGGTGGTGGAGGGGGCGGCCTGTGCACTGGCCCTGAGGCAAGGGAGAAGGATGGGCAGGGGCCAGAGCTGAGTCCTAGTAGCCCAGGAGAGGCTGGACTGTCCCCTGTGGATACTGGCGAGCTTTGGGACAGTTGCTGCAAGGACCTGATGGTCCAATCAGTGCTGACTCCCTGGAAGCCACAGTTCTTTTTTTTTATTAAAGAAAAAAATGTTGTGCTGGATGTTATTCAAAGCTCTGGGTAAAGAGCTGTGAACAAAACAAAGCCCTGCCTGACGGGCTGACACCGGGAGGAGGAGACTGCCACACTCACAGGGGTCCCACGCCAGGTGGAGAGCATGCGATGGAATCGGGCTAGGGGAGAAAAGGACAGGGACAGAGGCTCCTTAACACGGCGGCTCAAGGAAGGTCTTCCCAAAAGGCCACCTTTGAGCAGAGGCAGGGAATCAGGCAGGTGTCTGGGGAGAGAGCTTTCCAGGCCAAGGGACTAGCAAATGGAGAGGCCCCGATGCAGAGCACCCTTGTGCGTTTGAAGACCAAGAAGGCCAAGGTGGTGGAGACAAGGGAATGAGATAAGGGGGGAGGGGGGGTCGTGCAGAACCTTAGAGTCTTTGAGGACTTTGCGTTTTCTGAGTGAAATGAGAGTCACAAGGCTTTGAGCAGAGAAAGACAACATCTGACTTGTGTTTTTTTAAATCTTCATTAAGTTAGAATTTCCATACTGTATAGCCTGCCCATTTCAAGTCTACAGTTCAGTGGCTTTTAGTATGTTCAGTCTGCAACCATCATCACAATCAATTTCAGATCATTATCATCTCTCCAAAAAGAAACCCTCTTAGCCATCACCCCCACCTCATCCCTGCATCTCCACCCAGCCCCAGGCAACCACTAATCTACTTTCTGCCTCTGTTGATTTGCCTATTTTGGACATTTCATATAAATGGATCATGTGACGTGCAGTGCTTTGTGACAGGCTTCTTTCCCGTAGCATAACTGACATGAATTTTAGTTGAACCCTTGAGGCTCTAGTGGAGAACAAACCGTCAGGGGCAGGGGTGAGAGCAGGAAGCCCAGTGAAGAGGCAGCTGCCATAGTCCAGGTGGCAGATGATGGTTGGACCAGGGCGGGAGCTGTGGCAGCGGACAGAACAGGTTGGATGTTGGATTAATTGGAAGGCAGAGCCAGTGGTATTTGTACATGGATGGGTCTTGGGAAAGAAAAAGAGAGAACGTTTTTGGCCCAAGCAGTTGGAAGGATGGTGCCGGCGGGTTGGGGAGGACCAGGAGCTCAGCTCTTGGCACGTGAGTGTGAGGCATTGAGATGGTCAAGGGAGTATGCCCAGTACACCGCTGAAGGGAAGGGTTCGGGCCGGGCCTGGGAACCGGGGAGCCTCTGCGTGTGGACTGTGTTCAAGTTCACAAGCATGAATGAAATCCCAGGTGACAGGAGAGGGAGGAAGCCCAGCAGGCCTGGGGTTGAACTGGTACAGACTAGAACTGAGGTTGGAATCCTGTCATCCTGGTAGCAAACAGCCCCTACTCCCAGCCTCCAGAGGTCTCCCCTACTGCTCCAGACCCCACACCTCTTTCCCCAGCCCTCTTGACCTCCCCAGGATCCAGCAAGGAGGCCCGAGAGGCTACAGGGGGGCAGATATCCAGATGGTTCAGAACCTTCTAGAATGTTGGCTCTGCCTTGCTCAGCTGGGGACCTCCAGGACCCTGTTTCCACTAAGGCTGGCAGAGGCTATTGTTAAAATATATTAACTCTCCTCCGGGTATGAAGGCTTCTGTTGCAAGACATGATCTGACTTAAGTTTCAAAAAGATGACTCTGGTTACAGTGTCGGTCCTGTGCAAGGAAGGGTCACAGGTTTGATTCCCCATCAAGGGTCCGTACCTGGGTTGCAGGTTCGATCCCCGGCCTCAGTCTGGGTGTGTGTGGGAGGCAACTGATCAGTGTATGTCTCTCACAACATTGATGTTTCTCTTTCTCTCCCCCTCCCTCTTTCCTTCCCTTCTACTCTCTTTAAAAAAAAAAAAAAAAAAATCAATGGAAGGGTGAGGATTAACAAACAAAAAACTCTGGGGCCAAGGTGGGTGGGAGGTGGAAGGGAAGTCCAGACAGCCTTGTCGGGTCATGCACACCTTACCTACATCTCTTTCTCCACAGATACACAAGCCCTCAGCAAGGGGGGCTCCAGCAGCCCGGAGCCCTGGGCCCGGCCCTCCTGCAGTCCCCAGGAAAGGGGCTGCCCACCGCCCAAGGAGCGTGAGTCCTCGCCCCCTCCAGCCCTGCAGACCGTCCAGCTGCCCCGTCTGGCCTTATCTCCACCGCCCCCGGCCCCTCCACTTCCACCACTCCAGCCACCGCAGCAGGTCCAAGTGGCACCCTCGCCCTCTAGCCCCCCACCCCCTCCACTGCCTCTGCCCACGCCCTCGGCCCCAGACCCCTCCCTGGACTTCCTGCGGGCACAGCAGGAGACTGCCAACGCCATCAGGGAGCTAGCTGGCACCCTGCGGCAGGGACTGACTAAACTGAGTGAGGCCCTCAGCGCCCTGCTGCCCCTTCTTCCCAGAACCCCAGCTGACCCACTGCCCCCACCTCTGCCCCCACCTCCACCCCCCAGGCCTGTCCTGCCTCCACCCACCCCCAAAGTGGAGATCACCCCAGAGCCCCTGTCTGTGGTGGCTGCTGTCGTGGACCGGGCCAAGGTGGCAGCCAGGGGGGTGATCATGGCCCCTAGAAGTGAGGAGGGGGCCTCCCGGCCACCCCCAGCCCCACTTCCTCCCCATGAGTCCCCCCCTCACAAGAGGAGGAAAGGTTTTCCTACAAGGAAGAGGCGGGGGCGATGGAAATCTCCGTGAAATCTACCATTGGGTTCAAGCTTGCCTATGCTCTCTGCCAGCACCTCCTCGCCCAGCTTAGCCCAGAGGAGGAGGGCCATGCACCTTCCCCATGCCAGCTGCACCCTGGCTTCCTGCTGCAGGGGCGCGAGCACCCCACTCCCTGTACTAGTTAGTGCCTGATTCGTGGGGGGCCTCATTGATGGGCCCCCCAGCCCTTTCTCCAGTACAGCGCTGTCTGCCTGGCTGCTTTCCTTAACCCTGACTTCTAAGCCATCAATTTTATGTTATTTATTATTGCCCTTTGTGGGCTGCAGAGGAAACCTCGCGGGTCTGCACATACCCCCTTCCCTAATCACTCCTGGTCTTGACTTGAAGAGAATTGAGCTGTGGGGGCCTCCTCACATCCCTACTCCAGACTTTGGAGGGAGTAGGGGTTGCAAGACAAATCAGAATATGAATGACAATGAGGATACGCTAGGGAGAGGGGGTGAGTTCTCACTGGGGAGGTGTAGGTTGGGTCCTCTGCCTCCCATTGCAGTCTCTGACCTCCAGAGCTCAACCCCCTCCTTTTTCCTCATGGTGACAAGATATCAATAAACTTATTTTTAATACAATTACTCAAGGCTCTGGCTGAGACAGGCCTGGGATTCTAGCACCTACAACTGCCCCGCCCCTCCACGGGCAGACGACACCCCCTTGAAGTCAGAAGCTGGAGCCTTTCTTTGTTATTGTTGTTTAAGCCATCAAGGCCAGTGTTCAAATTTTATTCCTACCTACTCATCCTTCAGATACCACCGAAATGTCATCTCCAGGAAAGTATCCTGGATTCTCTCCCCAGGTTAGGATGGGTCTGCTTCTTAAGATTCTCTCTCCGTGTCCTATAATTCTTTCCCAGTGACCCCAAATGAAGAAGTGCCTTTATCTATTTAAGGCATTTTTCCTCCATAGTTCATAAAGGCAGGAGCTAGGTTTCTTACTCCCAAACCTGCTGCAGAGCCTGGAGCAAAGCAGATAACCACCAACCCTGGACTCAGCCCCAGGTGTTGCTCTGGCCAGCTGTGTAACCATGGGCCTCCTTTTGCTCATCTTAAAATGGGCATCTTTTAAATTTAGGAATCTTTATTTCCTACTAGATTCTATTTATCTTTCAGGCCTCCCTCAGCTCCAAATAGCATCTCCTCAGGGAAGCCTTTCCTGACACCCCTTTCCCCAGCAGTTACCAAAAAATGCAGTTAAATAATCATCTGAGTGCATTTAAATTAAACGTCTGCCTCCCTCACCAGGCTGAGCCTTGTTAGGGTAAGGCCTGAGCCTATCTCAGTCACTGCTGTGTCCTTACCATTACCCAGTGCTGAAAAGGGACGAATCTTTGAAATAATGGGCAGCTTAAAAACAAAAACTTCATTTATAGTGCTTCATTTCTGGGCCAGCCACCATGCTTAGCATTTATGTGCAAGTTTGCCTCCTACCCTGAAGGTACCCAGTGAAAAGCAGAATCTAGGAGTCTCCATCTTTTTCCTGAGTTTAGAACTTGATTTAAACTTGTCAGGTGTCTGCCCTGGCCAGTTTTGCTCAGTGGTTAGAGCGTCAGCCTGCAGTCCACAGAGACCCGGCTGCGGTTCCCGCTAAGGGCATATACCTCGGTTGCAGTTTGTCCCCGGCCCTGGTTGGTCGTGTGGGTGGCAGCCACTCGATGTGTCCCTTTCACGTCGATGTTTCTCTCTCTCTCTTCCTCTCTCCCTCCCACTCTATCTGAACAAAAAATGAAAAAATGTCCTTGAGTGAGGATAAAAAAACCCCAAAAACTTGTCAGGTGCCAATCCAGTCCACCTGAACCTGGTTTCTGGCCAGAACTCGATTCCCACTAGAGTTTACTAGAGAATGACCCAAAGGCAATTTTCAGTGATACGTGGAAGGCCTTTTTAATGGTTCTGTATGCACCTTTAACTGATGTAAAAATGTAGCTAGTATATAAAACCCATGATCGTGCACATAACATTGCTTAGGATGAAGCAAAAAGAAGGTAGCCTTCTTCAAATAAGTCCACTTAAAAAAAAGTTACGAGTGGTAACATAAGATCAGAGCTGCTATACTTGCAGCCAGGTGAGGGAGCGGGATAGGCAGCCTGATTAGTTTGAAAAACACTATGTCAAAACATTCACATATTTTTGCGTTCTTAACATGGACCCAGGCTTAGGAACAGGCTAATGGAGGTGAGACCTTAGAGGCCTGTCTTCACGACAGCCTGCCTCTCACTGTTCCGACGCCACGAAGAAAAAACATGGGGGTCCCCAGGGCCTGATTGGGCCTATCAGGTAGTAAGCGCTCAAGGTTGTAGAAAGGTGGTCTGGCGCTCGCTCGGCCCAGAAACTACCCCCAACTCTTGCTCGCCATCTCTGGCCTCCTTTCCTTCCCCCAAATTAGGGAGCAGTAGAGGGTGAGGATCCCCTCATCTAGGTGCTCCGAAAACGCGGAAAAAGCCCCTCAAAATTGACTGGCGTGGGGGGGTTCGGGGGTAGGACAGGCAGCGGGAATTGGGAAGGCCTCCCCAGACCTCCCAGACAGCGGAAGTGCGTCAGTTTGTCCGCCCCGCAGAGCATTTTGGGAATTGTAGTGAAGTTGGGTGGGGCGGGCGGAGAAACTTGACAGGGTAACCCTTTGGGGACCGGAGCGCGCCGGCAGAACTGGAACAGAGTGGGAGGGCGCTCACCACTCCAGCAGATGAGGCAACTGAGGCGGAGGCCTTTAGTCCTCTCTTTTTTGCCGGCCCGGGTCAGAGGCTGAAACCCAGAATTCCGGGGAAAACAACGTGCCAAGTGCACCATCTCCACCCCCATCCCACAGCACCACCACTAAATGGCCAACTTCCCGTCCCCTACCCAGTAACCGTCCAATCAGGGCCCCTCCGCCCTGCCCCAGGAGCGCCTGCCTTCTTAATTGGCCATTGGCTTACCTTTGATGGGCGGGGAACTGAATCTCAGAGAGGGCAAGACTTTCGCTTAAAGTTGCACAGCAAGTCGGAGCAGAAATTGGACGCCCGGAAACATGTCCGCCCCCTACAGTTTGTGAATTCGTGGTAGCTCTGACCATTCGTAAGACATCCTCGCCCCCAACTCTTGTGCCCGAGCTCCTCGGAGCGCGCGGAATGCCCTGCCCGTAGCGAGGAGTGGTGCGGGTCGCGCGGCAGAGAAGCGACGAGTCCCTCCATTCCCGGCCGCCTACCGTCCCCTTTAAGAGCCGGCCCCGGCGGGACTACGTTTCCCAGAAGGCTTTGCCGGCACGTTATGTAACTTTCCCTGCGAAGCGGCCTCTGGGGCAGAAGAAGGTGGAGGCGGCGGCGGCCGTTGCAGTGGCGGCGGCGGGAGCGGCGGGAGCCCGAGGCGGCGGCGCCCGTGGCCCATCGCTGGGCCCGAGCTGTGCGCCTCGGCCCGGAGCCTGGACCGGACGGGGGCGCCGACGTGCCTCTGCCTGCCTTTTCAAGGAGGCGGGAGTGAGGAAAAAGGCTTAGGGCCCAGGGGGCGGGGAAGGGGGGCCGGGCCTGGATCCGCGGGGTGGCCGAGCCGGAGGCCCGACTGTGGGTCGCGCTTTCCCGGCTACACGAATAGACCGTCGACGGCGCGGATCGAACGTTGGCGGCGGGTGGAACGCGGGGGCCTGGTGGCGCGCGCGCGGGGGCCATGGCGTCTGTGCAGGCGTCCCGCCGCCAGTGGTGCTACCTGTGCGACCTGCCCAAGATGCCGTGGGCCATGGTGTGGGACTTCAGTGAGGCCGTGTGCCGCGGCTGCGTGAACTTTGAGGGCGCGGATCGCATTGAGCTGCTCATCGACGCCGCCCGCCAGCTCAAGCGCAGCCATGTGCTCCCCGAGGGCCGCTCGCCGGGGCCCCCGGCCCTCAAACACCCGGCCACCAAAGACCTGGCTGCTGCCGCTGCACAGGGGCCCCAGCTGCCGCCACCGCAGGCACAGCCACAGCCGTCGGGGACTGGTGGCGGCGCCTCGGGTCAGGACCGCTATGACAGGGCCACATCATCCGGCCGCCTCCCCCTGCCCTCCCCTGCCCTGGAGTACACCCTGGGGTCCCGCCTGGCCAATGGGCTGGGCCGCGAGGACGCCGTGGTGGAGGGAGCGAGAAGGGCTCTGCTTGGCTCCATGCCCGGTTTGGTGCCCCCCGGGCTGCTGGCAGCTGCAGTGTCTGGCCTGGGAAGCCGAGGTCTGACGCTGGCACCCGGCTTGAGTCCTGCCCGTCCAATCTTCGGCTCCGATTTCGAGAAGGAGAAGCAGCAAAGGAATGCGGATTGCCTGGCAGAACTGAATGAGGCCATGCGGGGCAGGGCAGAGGAGTGGCACGGGCGCCCCAAAGCAGTGCGGGAACAGCTGCTGGCGCTGTCTGCCTGCGCCCCCTTCAATGTTCGCTTCAAGAAGGATCACGGGCTGGTGGGGCGGGTATTCGCCTTCGATGCTACTGCCCGCCCGCCAGGCTTCGAATTTGAGCTGAAGCTCTTCACCGAATATCCCTGTGGTTCTGGCAACGTGTACGCAGGAGTCCTGGCCGTTGCTCGCCAGATGTTTCATGATGCTCTGCGAGAGCCGGGCAAGGCACTGGCCTCATCAGGCTTCAAGTACCTCGAATATGAACGCCGACACGGCTCAGGAGAGTGGCGTCAGCTGGGGGAGCTGCTAACCGACGGTGTCCGAAGCTTCCGCGAGCCAGCACCTGCTGAAGCCTTGCCCCAGCAGTACCCAGAGCCCACACCTGCCGCTCTGTGTGGCCCACCCCCGCGAGCCCCATCCCGGAACCTGGCGCCCACGGCACGCCGTCGAAAGGCATCCCCTGAGCCAGAGGGTGAGGCAGCTGGGAAAATGACCACCGAGGAGCAGCAGCAGCAGCAGCAGCGACACTGGGTAGCACCCGGTGGCCCATACTCTGCTGAGACCCCTGGTGTGCCCTCACCTATTGCTGCCCTGAAGAATGTGGCTGAAGCCCTGGGCCACTCCCCCAAGGACCCTGGTGGGGGTGGGGGCCCCGGGCGTGCAGGGGGTGCCAGTCCAGCAGCCTCCTCCACGGCCCAGCCTGCAGCCCAGCATCGCCTAGTGGCTCGCAATGGTGAGGCCGAAGTCAGCCCCACTGCGGGGGCAGAAGCTGTTAGCGGGGGTGGTAGCGGCACCGGTGCGACCCCTGGAGCCCCCTTGTGCTGTACCCTATGCCGGGAGCGGCTGGAAGACACCCACTTCGTCCAGTGCCCCTCAGTGCCCGGACACAAGTTCTGCTTTCCCTGCTCAAGAGAGTTCATCAAGGCGCAGGGCCCTGCTGGTGAGGTGTACTGCCCCAGTGGAGACAAGTGCCCGCTGGTGGGCTCCTCTGTCCCCTGGGCCTTCATGCAGGGTGAAATCGCCACCATCCTTGCTGGAGACATCAAGGTTAAGAAAGAACGGGACCCCTAGACCACCACTGCCACCAGTCTACTGTCCCTTGTCCCCGTGCCACCCACCGCTGCTGCGGATAAATTATTCCCTCCCTTACCCAGCCCAGTGCCACCCCCACCTGTGTACATACCCCCCTTCTTCATCCCAGATGGGTCCCCTGGGGTAGACGCATTGAGGGTGGGGGGAGAAAG